AGTCCTTGTTACAAACCATGCAAACCTTGGATAGACTTTCCCACAAGATGTTTGTGTTTCTCTCAGCTTGTTATCAACCTGTTAGAGTCTAAGGTGGTGCCTAATTGTCTACATGGAGTTGTTCATGGTGAGAAGGTCATAACCTTTGACATACAGGTCAGTCCCTTTCAGGTTGGAGGGGTTTTCAGATGCAGAGAGATATCAAAACTTCAGGGGAAAGCAAACAAGAGGCTGTGTGTTTTATATTTTAATCTAGGAGCTCAAAATTCATTGGGATGGACCATGTATAAATTTTGAGACAGATCTGTATCTAGAGCTCGAGCTCGGACCAACTTGGTGAAAGTTCATATCTTGAGCTTTTTATGTTAATTCTGCCTAATGTTAGCCTTCCCTTTCAATACCAACAAACTATACTGCCTTTATGTGTTGACAGATCATGTTGGTTTTGGCCCAGTCCCTGATGAAGTAATGTCTGGCAGTTAGCTGCTGAGAAGGACGGGCGACCTTCTGCGACCTTCAGCTGTTCTACAAGCTTGGAATTCATAAGATAACTGGGAGTTTGGTCCTCATATCTGTCAACAGTCTGTCCCTTGTGCCTACAACTGCTTCTGTTGAGGGAACCCAGGCCTTGGACATTGTCAAGTTCATCTTAAATCATGATCTTCAGTTCTGGGACTGTTCCATTTTCAAATCATAACAGGGGAGGACAGAACTCTATTTTCCACCCTCATCATCATTTCTATGTAGCAACGAGGTTTATCATTATTTAATTAATCCTGATATTTCCTTCAAACTTTCAAGTATAAAACTCTTCCTGATACAACACTCTCCAAAAGCATTTTCAAATAAAATGTGGATAATATAACATAATGATACAAGAAATACATGTATGCTAGGTTAGCTGACTCTATCATCCAATATCATTCATAAAACAGAATATAGCAATGTTACAAACAAGGTGTTTGATCTTTTCAAACTTTTACAATAGTGTTATTAACAGATGGGTGGCATACATGCCTTGAACACTGACTTCTGTTACCAAGTTGATCACAATGTTGAGGACAATAGCATTGGGTAATTACTTAAATTACGCTTCTGAATTATCTATGATTCATGATTATCTATCACTACTGTCACAATAGATAAGATCGCTATAATAAGGGGGTAGGGCAAAACAAAATGAGCATGCCATTCTTCAAAGGACTTTCTATCAAGGCCAAATGCACAATTTTTCATTGTTACCTAGGGAGAGACTCCAACAGGTGCCTAGCTAATCACTGAGATGGTCTTTGACACAATGGCAATTTTGATGACAATCAAATATGCATGAATCGGATGGTTATCTTTCATCAATTTATATACCTTGATAATCTTTTTATAATCATTATAATCTTTATAAGGTCATGGTTATAGATTAAAGGCATGTTTGAAGTGTTATCAAATGGATGTTGAAAGAATCTTATGCTTCAGGTTTTTGGAGAAGCTTGTTCCAAGAGATGAAATCCATTTTGTTTAAAAGGCGACCAGTTTTTAAGAAGAATTTCCTTTTCTATAAAGCAACTAATTACATTGTACTATGCTATGGCCTGATCAATACAAGACAACTACAGTGTACATTTATCTCTGTCACCAAATTCCATCAATTAACTGTCAGTTTTACAAAGCTACATGTAGCAGGTGCTAAAGAACATGTTTTTTGTGAGGTATCCGACATTTCCAGGCCATATGTGGGCAGTACAGTAAATTACACCTTCCAAACTTGACACCTAGATGACACCTACATTGTAACATGTCTTTTATTATTGAACAGTAGAAATTAACCAAAGGGACCATTAAGCTTGATTCTTCAGAATTAGCTGATGTTAGATTACTTAGAACTTTTAAAACTTAAATGTTTTGCTGACCTCTTTACCTCAACACTGCAAATATATTAATTTTGTATTACTGCATTTCCATATCAGACCCAAAAACAAAATCAAATATTTGTTTCTTCGTTTTGTAGAATAAAGAGGGTTCAAAGGGTTTCTGTACAATTTCATCAAATCATTTACTTCCTCACATATTGTTCTGGAAAAGGGACAGAGAAAAAAGGATGGTATGAAGAAAAAGGTTGACCAGGAATTATGGTTGACCCTTGACTTGGCCAAACCAGTCCAAACAGAGCTGTGGTTGGAGTCAAAACCCTGCTATGTTGTATTTGTCTGTTTTCCTGCTGTTTGGCATGTTTTCACAGGGTTCCAAACATACACATGTATCAACAAGTTTGCTGGGAAATAGGACACCGGTCAGTTCCCACTGTCTCAGTCCATACTCTAAAACTCATCATTCTAGTCTTGCAAAATTCACACAGTTGGAAATTTAAATACCAGTATATGTACCTAATTACATACAGCTATCTTTTAACTACAGACATTGACT